ATGTATACGTGTATGTATATACATATGTATATATATATATATAAACAAATATATATATATATATATGTATATATATATATTGTATATTACATGTGTATGTATGCATGCATGCATTCATGCATGCATGCATGCATGTGTGTGCATGCATGCATGCATGTGTGTGCATGCATGCATGTGTGTGCATGCATGCATGTGTGTGCATGTATGTATGTATGTATGTATGTATGTATGTATGTATTACTCAACTGTTACTGAGCGGGGGCAATATCCAAAGTAAACAGCGGGGCGTTAAGGGGCCGCCTTTAGTCGTCCACCAGGAGCTCGATGTTCAGGAACTCGGACAACTTCGATGCGCGCTTCTCAAGGACGTACTTGCTGTAGACCTCGCAATCCCAAGGGCTCCACTTACCCAAATAGAAGGTCACCAACCATATGAGATGTGACACAGTAACCCATTACTTAACTGAATTTATTAACTGGAGCCCCAGGGAATTCAGGGTTCAGAGTCCCGACAACCGAAACTGTGAGTGCCAAAGTGTTGGTGCTATGGCCTGTGGTGAAATGCTTCGCCCTCGAGGCCTGGGACGAAGTAAACACGCTTTAATAATCAAAAGGGTGTTGGCTTCTTGAAGGGTGTTGAACTCTACCCTCATACACCAACTCAACACATTAATTGCAGGGTCCTTGGCAATTTATTGGTAAATCCCACGCCAAACTCGAATTAGGCCCCGACCTCGGGGTCGTCCATGAAATGGATCTCTTGACCTTCCTCGCGGGGGCACTGGAGCTTTGGGTCGTCTGAGGCCTGAAGAAAAGACAGGGGCCTTGACTCTTTCAGTAGAATAAGAGTAAGGTTTCGGGGATATACTATACCCATATTTGTAGCTTTAATCGGAATCCTCAGGAATCGTTTTGGCATTGATTGTGTGAGGCTCCGGTCGCAGGCCTTCGGGAGCTTTTGGACAAAGACTGGAAAAACCTCGCAGTCTACAGCATTCCTTGCCGGATAGACGCCCTTAGAGCAGAGGGCGTCTGGGATGTGTTGAGCCTTGAGAGTTCCAAGGAAAACGAACCAAACAATGGTCAGTACTATAGGGGCCTTAATAATTACCTATACTATTTTGGGGGCTCCTTATTATAATTACGGCATAGTAGGCCCCATAATTACCTACGCTATTGTGGGGGGGGGGGCTCCTTATTATGATTGTGGCCAAACATGCCCCAAGACGCTATTCTAAGTATTAATAAGGCTCCCTACATTCAACCCAGAGAGCAACAATTCATGTGCCCCTGTTTGCCCAAGACCAAGTCCTAGTAGCATAAATGTAGAGTCAAGGAAATAGCATCAGCTACGATAAGACGAAGAGCAACTCGCCACAGCTTGACCGAATATAGAGGCCGCTGTAAGTAGAATATGGCTTGGTGGTACTATAAGGATTCTCAAGGAGTATTATCAAGTATTCTGAACCACCCTAAACCCTAAACGTATAATCAAGTATTCTGAGTCCTGCATACGTCCCTGGGCCTGGCCTGTGTGACCAGGTACAAGTCGCGGCTTCCGGTGATGGCCATGTTGGTCCACTCGAACTTTACGGCCTGCAGGGGCAGGGATTGAGTTTCGGGGTTCGGGATCATACCCTTACCCTCAAAGGACTCATATTTAAAGGCTTTTGGACCCAAAGACCCCATTATATACGGCTTTTGGGCTATTTTGATGTTAAGGGATAGGGTTTGAGGACTTGTAGAGGAATTCACGCAAAGGGGGCTACACGTTTGCACAAGCATGCTGACCAATCCCGATGCCGAGATTTCACCTGCAAAACCCCAACTCTACCGTGAAAACTGCAAAATCCTAAACCCTACGCCCCCGAGAAAGAAAAATCCCAGCGCCCAACCTCCCCTGACCTAAACCCTGCGCGTCCCAACAAACAAGACGGAAGGCAGCCTGGAAGTCGGAGAGGGGGACCTCACGAATCATGTCGCCATTTCTCACCTGGGTAAGGGCTTCTGGGTTTCGTATCTTCTTGAGGGGAAAAGGAGGGGGGTGTAGCATGGTGTAGAAGTTCGGGGTTTGGGGTTTCAGGTTGGGGGGTTCGCTGTTGTGTTGAGGGCTCCTTCGGAAGCAGCATGAGCCATCGGCCCCCAAGTCGCGTTGAGACGATTTTGGTGTAGGGTTTAGGGTTTTTCCCTCCCACATAGCTAGGGTTCAGGGCTTGGGGTTTCGGGTTCAGGATTTAGGGATTTTGGGATCTTCTTCGCACTTGGATGAGGCATACACGCTACATAGTGTCATGTCAATGTGCTAGTTCACTCTCCGCTCAGCCCTATGTTCCGCCTCAACATCTGGAAAGTGTTGCCTCCGTCACCTCATCAATTATCCCTTCAGGTCTTTCGATCGGAAGGCTACACCGCAAAAAAAAAAAAGCACACCGCTTCCCAGGATTTGAGCAAACACGCAGCAACGACAAATCCAGGGTTGGCGGCCTGCAATTTTGTGGTATTACAATCCAAGCGCCAAGCCTAAAACGCCCGGAATCCCTGTGTCTAGGGCCTGTGGCCGGGTTGAAGGGTCTAGGAAGTTCCAACCGCCTGCAACAGCCCAGTCACCATGTACATGTACCCATCCTTCTTGTTGAACTCGCAGACGCCCTGGCCCACGTTAAAGATGTTGATGTACCACTGGATGGGGCCTCGGAGGATCAAAACTAAAGCCTTAAACCGTGTACTCCGACCAAGCACAACATCAGGCCACATCGCATTTTGAAGCTTCCGATTCCTGATTCTCTGCAGCTTGCTTGATTTATGGCTCGTAGTGGCTCCAAGTACCGACCACCATGCTCAACAGCCTTATGCACCTGGAACTAGACGGATCCTAGAGGAACATGAACTTTCTCCCCTCTCAAAAAAATGCCCAACTTCGCCAAAGCACCGAAGATGAAGAAGCCAAAGATGCCGTAGAAGGACATGAAAGCACCCTGCGGGATTGGGAGTTCCGGGTTTGGGGGGGTTTTGGGGGTTTACAGCAGGGGCTTTTAGGGTTTGGGGTTTATAAGGTTTCGGGTTTTAGGGTGTAGGGGGTGTTTAGGGGTGCGTGGATGAGAAGAGCTTTGGGTGTCTGATTCCTAAGTCCTAGGACCTCCATTTAGCCTCTACCAGACCCGAAAGACCTACACTTAGGGGACCTTAAATCCCAAACCCTAAAACCCTAAAGCCCTAATTAACCCTAAACCCTAAAACCCTAAACCCTAAAATTCTAAAACCCTAAAACTCTAAAACTCTAAAACTCTAAAACCCTAAACCCTAAACCCTAAAACCCTAAAGCCCTAAAACCCTAAAGCCCTAAAACCCTAAACCCTAAACCTAAACCCTAAAACTCTAAAACCCTAAACCCTAAAACCCTAAAACCCTAAAGCCCTAAAACCCTAAACCCTAAACCCTAAATACCTACACTTAGGGGACCTTCCTCTGAGATTTAAAGGGAGGGTGCTAGTTGTCGGAGCCCGGCGGTCTGAACCAATGCCCGTCTAGACAACTAAGGGGGTTTAGGGCTTCAGGGGTTTCAGGGTTTAGGGCTTAGGGTTTTAGGGTTTAGGGCTTAAGGGTTTTAGGGTTTCAGGGTTTAGGGCTTCAGGGGTTTCAGGGTTTAGGGTTTCAGAGGTTTCAGGGTTTTAGGGTTTAGGGCTTTAGGGTTTTAGGGTTTAGGGTAGAAGGGATCTTGTCGAATTTCAAGTGAGATCTTCGCGACAAGAGCACCAGGGCATCACACAACAAATCAACTTAGTCTCTTACAGCATCCTTGCTTGTCCCTCAACACTTTCAGTAACCCGCCTTGATTTCACTCGAGTTCCAAAACAACCGATCAAGGAAGAAGCGCATGAGACCTTTATCCGAGTTACATGGCAGCAACATCCTACAAAAAAATGGCTCGTCAAGTCATAGATCCTCGCGAACACATCTCCAGGACATCCTGATCCCTGCGCCCCGCCCCAAACCGGCCCCACGCCCCAGCATCCCTCCCAACCCTAACTTGCAGAAGTCTGTCTATCTGCACTTGTAGATTGTCCACCGAAAATGTCCCCTTGCCTAATCCCTCATAAACCCTTTCAAACCCTACCCAAAACCCCCTCGTTAGATCTCCTACAGATCCCTTTAACAGAACCGCCTGTGGCAGGAAATTGATTCCTTCGGAGGGCCGAAGGAACCCGAGGTACTCAGATGTGATCGGATTCCTGCGCTGAGTCAAGAATTCAGAATCGGCTAGGGAGGCTTCGCCTGACTGAGGAAAGCACAAGGCATTAGTAGAGGCAAGAGTTTAAGGTTTAGGGCGCTGTATTGCGGCTTCATTATCTCTGAAACTGTCTAGGGTTGAGGCATCGGGTGTAAGATGGTGTCAGTATCGTGTGGGCGCGTCGACCTTGATGTGTAACCATCAGATTCGCACAACAGCTTGGAAGCCAGGGTGGCTTCCAAGACAGTTGGGCTGGGGGGGGTCCCTCTATAGCAGGATACAACCAGTTCTACTAAACCACATGTATGGGACGCAGTCGAAAAGTGATAAACCTGTTGAGGAAGTTGCCGTTAATGTCATGCGGTAAAGTACATTCAACGCGCTGGGCTTGGGATTGCGCGCGCAAACAAACGTCCTACATGTCTACTGCATCGGCACCGCAATCCTAAACAAACAACCAAACAAACGAGCAAGCAAGCAAACAAACAAACAAACACACACAGATGCACACACACAAACTCAGAACCGTCGCCTTCAGATTCTAGAAACATTTCGGGAACCTGGAACCTGAAACCCGAGCCCTGAGCTCTGCAATTCATACCCGTGATGGAAATCCGGCGGTCCAATCCACGATCGGCTCTCCGAAGAAAGAGGAAACGCCGACCTTGTTGTATACATATATATATATATATCTCTCTCTCTCTCTCTATCGCCTTAACGATCTATCGATCTATCTGTCTTACTCTTCTAATCTGTCTAATCTATCTAATATAGCTAACCTATCTAACTTAATCTATCTGTCTATCTATCTGTCTCTCTGTCTACCTACCTATCTATCTATATGTTTGTGCATGTGTAACAATATGTATATATGTCTACATAAGTAAAGATGTGCATGCATACAAACATACATCCATCCATTATTTACCTATCTATCTATATGTTTGTGCATGTGCAACAATATGTATATATGTCTACATCCGTAAAGATGTGCATGCATACATACATCCATCCATGCATGCATGCCTGCATGC